TTTCAGCAGCTCAAGCATGTTTATACTCGTGCGAGACGCTGTGACTTATGTAAGGTAACAGCACCGAGGAGTGTGGACCAGAAAGGCCAGAAATGCATGCTGCAAAATCCCACCATGCGTATTTTTGGCATATTACGTTTGATCGGGATGTATTGGGACATATTAAATATTATTCTGCTGTATTATATAGTATGGTAGCATGGGTACACCCAAAATGCTGGTTTTGGTGGGACATTTGCATGCAGGGAGGCGAGCGCAGTCATTAAAATACATGATTTAGCAAAAAAAAACTAGCAGGGCTGCTTTGTTGCTCAATACAAACATTCGGTAAAGCTTGGGAAGGAAGCTGCATGAAATGGCAGGCTAATACCCACCATCTACATCTGGTGAGTCACATTATACAACCACCATCTTTGTCCCAAATATTTCCATTTGGGATTGTTTAAGTGGCAAATCTTTCCCTTGTATCATCTCTGGTATAGCCAGTGCAGATGTGCTTTTGTGGCTGACTTTCACCAACTTTGCTGTTGGCTTGCGATCGTGCGTTTGTTTGTCGTGACATGGATTTGTGCTGATGTGTAGGCGGTAAGGTTTATTGTTATATTATTAACTGGCTACTACATGACGCTGCATCTCAGACGATGTCGTGGAGTAATGCAAAAGTATTATTACAAGTAGTGTTACCAAGTACTTTCTACAGGGGGTACATTAGTAAAGTAATGCCTGTGTTATTCCTCCAAAGAGAATTTTTGGTGCCCACAAAAGAGATTTTAGTACCAAAGGAAAATGACCAGCACCAAAAGGATAAGAATTGAGAACTAAAAAAATGCATTTTTTAGTTTGGTAACTCTGGTTTCATGTACTCAAGCATAACATTTTGAGCCAGAAATAAAACAAAAAAAAAAGTTCTTAGATTTCTGCCAAATCAGACTGATCATGCTTACAACCATGAGCAGATGAAAGGCCCGTTCCTTTTTAAAAACGACATTGCAGTACTTCAACTGAGCAAAGTTAACAACTCTAGAATTAGCTGATGCCAGTCGATCGGCAGAAGCAAACTCCAGCTTAAGCGCTCCGTGTCAAACTCTCTCCTCAGTATCATGTTGTCAAGCATCTTCCTATATGTCATCGTTCTTTGATGGTTTCCCTTCCTGCATTCTCTAATTTTAGCTGAATTTGTAGCAATTTTTCACTTCTTAACTGCAAAGCCAGCGGCACAAATGAGTTGTATTAAGACACATGTCAATTAGTAGTCAGCTGTCAGCTCAGATAGTAGTCTGGCAGAGTTTTCAAGGCTGCATAACTCAACCTTCGAACGCCTAAAAATAAGGCCATAGAGACAAATGCCTAGGAGTCATTTGCAAGGGCAAATTAAGCCATGTGAGGACGGGAGTAGTTTACAGTCGTGTCAACCTGTCATAGCATTTTGTGATGGAAAATAAAGTTACTGCAGTGCTATGCAACATTTTTGCAAGCCTCTTGTTGGCACGTACACACCAGCTTTCTATCACTGATAAGTGGTTTTGTCCTTGGGGGAATGATGCACCTTACAGCTGGCCCAAGCAAGGTCAAACCTCTCACTGTGTCCGTCCTTTAATCCCAGAAGTACTACTGCAGTGGTCGTGGCATTTAGAGGGCAAGGTATGCACAGGATAATTAGCCTAGTACACCTTTTAAAGTCTGGAGTAAACAAGAGATTGGTGCAGAAATAAAAAAGAGCCAGCTCAACGTGCAAAATGATGAAATGAAATGCAACTGTCAGGTTCACAGGCGTATGTGCTGATGTTTCAGGGTGGGGAACTGGGACTAGACAGAGTGCTGCTATGTCTCTTGATGCGCCAATCACTGCTTAAAGATGCAAATATATTCATCTCCTGAGTGACAGCTCATCGTGTCAAACGCTGCGAGACCTTCCGCTGAACATGTTTCTCTCTCTCTCTCTCTGTTTTTTTTTTTCTTTCTGTTTCCCAAATCCTATCTCTAACTCTTTCTGGGGAACAAAGCAGCTTGTGTTGGCCAAGCACTCAGAGTGAAAATAGAAGCAATCATTTATTCATCGATTGAAACATCAGAGGACTAAGAGGCAGTGGGGGGAGTGGGAGCAGCAAAGAAGCGGGAAAGATATGGGCTTGCTGAGGGATGAGGGAGAAAAAGAAGGATGGTGACGGGGGTAAGTGAAACGGAGTGGAGATCAAAGAAGTAGAGAAAATTGTCGAGTGAACAAAAAGTGGACAGTTTGGCTTTCGAAAGAAGATAACATACAAGTAAGAGAAATGTCAAGCGACAGAAGCAAAACACGAATAGCAGCTTTTCGAGATGACAGCCGTGTTAAACTGTGACAAATGTAATCCTTGTAATTAAAGACTCCTGCTGATTAAAATCTTTTTTTTCTTTTTGAATCTTGTTAACATGTCCTTATGCTGGTTTTTATATACCTGAAGACACATCGTGAGTGAAAAAAGCACCATGGCTGAGCATTTCCACCCTGTACTGATGACAGTCTCAAAAACTCTGATTCAAACTTGGTCTTTGTATCGTTATTCGTCTTCATAATTGGCTTTAATTACCCCAATATTACAGCTTACCATTGTGTCAGGTAGTTTTATAGTGTCACGGTCAGAGAGCTATAGGTGAGCTGAAGTGCTCAAGCTGCAGCGAGGGTTGGAGTAGTGAGTGGAGAGAAAGTAGTAGTAGTAGCAAGTAGTTATATCTAAGCCGTTTTGTCACTTTAACTACTCAGAGATGATTTTATTAACTGACAATGGAGGGACTTTAAAAAAATATCTAGCAAACCTAAAATATTTGATCTTGTGACCATGTAAATGCTGCCATTACAACCAGTAACCATAACCACATCCCCCTAAACTGCACCTGATGTGTTTAAAATCTTAAAGCGAGCCTATAAAACTTACTAAACAGTGGCCATTGTGGCTCAAATGGCAGCTAAAAAAAAAAGTGAGAACATTAGCTTCTAAAAGCTACTGGTCAAGCTGCAGCTGCAATACCCTTGAGTGCACTGAACTGAGAAACTTTTCATTTATCAGAGGAAGCGTGCTATTTCTTCATCCAGAGTACATACACAGACCTGCCGCAACATTAAAACCGCAGAGAGGAAATGAATTACACTTGTCGTCTTGCATCGCTCTGCTGGAAAACCTGGCATCCTGGCACTAATGTGGGTGTTACTTTGACACTTACCACCCACCTAAACGTTGTTGCAGACTAAGCACGGCTCCCCGACAGCAGCGTCCACCCCCGGCAGGACCCCTGCCACATTGCAAAAACTGCTTAGGAACGACTCAAAGCACACGACACAGAGCCAAAGGCATTGACCCAGCATTCAAACTCCCCAGATGCCGATCCGATCGAGCATCTGCTTAGGAATTAAACCGGTCCAACGAGGCCCCACCCAAACAAAACACAGGACCCAAAGGATCTACTGCCAGTGTCCCGGTGCCAGACACAACAGGACACCCCTAGAGATCTTATGTCCATGTCCTGATGGGTCCCAACTGTTTTGGCAGCACACTATTAAGCAGGAGGCTTTAATGTTGAGGCTGCGGAGTAGATCCTCGCCTTTAGACTAGAGGGGTTTCTCTGTGTAATCCCAGTGATGAGTAACCAAAAAAAAGGCAGGATGTAAGAGCTCAGGTTTGATGTAAACATGATCTCCATATCAACAGACTAAGAGCGCTGTCACACTGCAGCTTGTAGTTTTTAAGGCAACAATCCGAGCGTCAGATTTCTCTGTTTTATTGACACGAATCATTAACTATCTCATCTCAGATACAACACATGTCCAGCAAAGCGCAAAAAGAGTGAAAAGCTTTTGTCCTCTGCAAGGGTATACATTTAAACAGCATTATCCTTCACTAGCAGTGGGGGGAGTAAGGGGAGGAGGGGGGGATACATGACATGAGACAGGATTATCCTCTGGAAAAAAGAAAAAAAAAAGCCCTCTCCCTACTACAGGCGCATGATGTGAATTGAAGATAGGAGGACCAGGTTCCCAGGGTACAATACTTGATACATTCTGTTATTTTTTTTTTTTCTTCAAAGAGATGCGAGCTAGATAGATTCCTCCTACGCAGTCCAAATAAACAAATACAGAGAGAGGCAAAACCGGTGCCAACAGTTACAGTGATACAAGAACATTTGAAAAATAAAGTGATCGCAAAGAAATAGAAATAAACAAAACAGGAACTAAATAGAAAGAAGCAAGGGGGGAAAGTAAATATCTCTGCAAATCCTTAAATCCCAAAGGTATTCTACCTTGTTCCCCCTCCCACCCTACCTCCCTCCTTTTTTTTTTTTTTATTTTTTTTTTTTTATATCATACAGTAAAAGACATTCAGAAGAGCAGACCGGAGTGATAGAAAACACTCATGCAAAGAAAGCCTTTTTCACACATAGTCACCAACACAGGAAAATTATCTCAAACAACAGCGCTGTCAACAGTCAGTGCCTTCAGGTCTTTTAGTGGATGTTGTTATTGTTGTTTTCAGTTTGTCTACAGACTTTTGATTTGCTACCGTACTTGATAAAAATGATATGACAGACTTCACCCATTAGGCTATCAAGTCTTCTGACTAGATTGACCTCCCACTTTTTGTCCTTGGGACCTGGGGATCCAACAGTTTATTAACAACAGTCTTCGTTTCAGGACCCCCATTGACCAAAAGAAAAGTTCAGCGGGGAGGATTTCTGCAGAAGAACTGGAGCCACAGGAATGAGCTTAGGTTGATATTCCATTATATAAAAAAGGCGTGATGTTTCTTTTTTTTTGGCATCTGTTCTTACTTCTTTTAAATCTGATATATATTCTACTTTTACAATCATTTTCTATACGGCAAAACAATTAAAGAGTTTCATTCCAAAGTAAAATACCTTGAACAAAATGATGGCAGCTAGTAAAATAAAGTCTACTAAGAGGAGCTATTGAAGTCATATTACGACCTTTATTTACAAAACTGTTTTGTTTTTCGAACAATTATCTTTGATTTTGTGATAACAATGGATATAGCATTTTTTGCTATAATAAATATATAATCTTTTGGAATGAAACCCTTCAATTTTAGATTTTTTTTTTCATATGCACATTCAATCCATGTTGCATTCACTGTTGATGCAGTCTCTCAGAAGTTATTTGATATCATAAATAGAATGATCTTGCCATAGAGTCTTTTCTTTCGTTGATATATTTTTGTATATAGTGAGATTTCTACACAGACAATATGTATTTATGTGTTTATTCCTTTTCCGCGATTACAGTTCTTCTGAACGGATGACGTGGAACAGTGTAACGTTGTAGAGAACCTGGTGGCCATTGTTCCAAGCATAGAGGGCGCGGTCACGCGGGTTGTAGTCCAGCATGGAGATATGTGAGTACTTGTTCTGGAAGGCAATGTCGATGTACTCGTAGGTAGAGGAGTTGGTGGAGTAGGCGTAGTAGACCTTGGTGCCTCCTGAGTATCCATTGGTGACGTAGAGCGTGCCGCAGATCATAAAAGACTCGCCAGCACTCCTTTTGGGGTGGTTGGTGGTCCAGCTCTTGATGATCTGCAGAGTGTTGGGGTTCAGCTTGCTGATGACAATGTTCCCGGCGTTCTGGTTGGTGGCGTAGACGGCCCACAGGCCTCCCTCGTCCACCATCAGGTCAATGTCCGAGTGGCCTCCCCAGGCGTAGTGGTACGCGTTATTGAAGCCGGCGTAGTCGAGCTGTCGGGACTTGCTGATGGAGGAGGTACGGAAGTCGAACTTGATGATGACGTGGCTCTGGAACTTGTTGAAGTAAATGGAGCCGTTGTACACCACCTGACCTGTTCCTGACCACGGGTGGGGCAGCCGGTGGGACGTGAAGTTGTCTGACGTCATGAAGTCCTGCATAGACTTGTACTCCCTCACAAAGCGGTTGTTGTGGTAACCATCCATGTACCAGACCTTCGCAGCATGAGACGAAAGAGAGAGAAGAATCAGAATAAAACACTACTTCAGAGCTAGAAATCCCTATCATCATCATTCGTCAGTGAGCCTTTGTGAATATCAGAATCTTGCATGCAGATCACACAAGGAATAAATCAAATCACACTGTAAGCAAGCATCCCAATTAAGTTAGTGCTGAGACTTCCTCGAGGAGCAGACGAAGCTGAGATCCGGCAGCTTCTGAATACAAACAGTCAGGATGACAGCCGCAGGGTGGCATGCGCCAGGCCCTGCAGGGATAATGCCCATCATTCCAGATAAAAGGCCTGTCTCAGCTGCTTCGACCCAGCTTCCTGCTGGCCCCTGTGGTGGTGGGCAGTGAGCTCTGATTCTGGAGCCACTAGAGGCTCAAATACTTCCTTAGTCTCAGTGGGACTGATAGACCTGAAGCCCTCCCCTTACCTGGTTTAATGTGCTGCTGTGATTGACTTAAAAAATGATTCACATCAAGGAAGCGGGTCTCCATGGAGCCCAAAAAAAACTCTAAGATAAGGAAAAGACGAGATAAAAAGAAGTGGAGCAGGCCTGTCTGCTCCCGTCAATTACACTCATTCTTCCTTTTCTGCCCTTTGACAACGTAGCACATCTTTCATGTGTTCTGCTCAAAATGTATTAGTTTCAACTAAAAAAGTTGCCTTTCAGGATGCTAAATATAATCTTAGTCAGCAGTAAGCTTCGCCCCTGCTGATGAGAAGTTTTGAATGTATAAAAATTATACAGCCTGTGTTGTCAAAACGGCTAGCCTTCAGGAGGCAAACTGTAACTGTAAATTTACACCGCTGCTGTCCTGCATGCTGCTGATTCCTCGCAAGTTTTTATCCCCTTTACTCCCGGTGACATTGAGAGTCCTGCCTCTTATTAATGTGCCTCATAAAGCCGGAGCAGGAAGAGCATGTTCACGCTTAGCAGACAAATAAACTTTCTTTATACCCACCTCCCTCCCTTCCTTGTCCGCGGGGCAGCTTCCCGTTAAAAACCATATAGATTTATCCCTGGCATTTCATTTTAATGTGTTGTAGTAATGAAGGCAGGCCCATTTACCGAGCCAACAGGAGCCCCGCTACGCAAAGGAAAATCAGATGCAATCAGCTGATGAAATAACAGTGACCAATTAACATGGACTGTCATTACATTTCACTGCAGGAGTTGGCCTTCACCGTCAGCAAGGTCATCTCTGACTTTGGAGTCCTGCAAACTATTTGTAATGCAGATCTTCAGGTATCTGAATGAGGCGAGGGAGGAGGGGTGCAGCAGGACTGTTTTTGTCCTCTAATGTGCGCTTGATAAATAGTGTGGGGCTGTGACTAATTATTATTTCCATTAAGAACCAAGATGACATATTCAAATTAGTGCTTTTATTTGATGAACAGTTAAGAGCCTAATGGCGTTATTTAATTACTATCACAAAAGAAAATCTGAATAAACACTAGAACCAGTGAATTTTTGCTGCAAAGTGACTTAATGAGCAATCAAAATTGTGGCTTAATTCTTTGTTGCTCAACTTTTTGCTGATGACAATTCACTGCTGTTTCTGTCTGATGCGGTTTTGTAAAAATTCCCAACATATGGAACAGGCTGCTAATATGACACTGACATGCACCAATCCACCACAACCTTAACACCACTGACAGGTCAAAGGAATAATATTGATCATCTGGTTACAATGCAACCTCGGGTCCTGGCATTCATGTGGATGTTACTATGACACCTACCTAGACATGGTTGTAGACCGAGCACACCGCCCCACATGGCGGCAGCCCTCCCTGATGAATCCCTAAGTAGGATAAAGCACCGCACCACACACTAAAAACCACTCAGGAACAGCTCGAGGAGCATGCCCTCCAAACTCCCCACCTTCCAGTCTGATCAAGCATCCACAGGATTCATCCAAACAATCCAGGAAGGCCCCACCCTGCAGCCCACAGGACCCATAGGATCCACTGGCAACATCCCAGTGCAAGACACCACAGGGCGACACCATTGGCCCCATGTCTACCATGGTGGCTGATTGGGTTTACACAGTATAAAACTTAAAAAAAAACTAATATTACAACCATGTATCTGGCTCTTTTGGTCAACACGCCACTGTGTTCACCAGCTAGTTGCTAAACGTGACTGAATTTTAGATCTTTTAGCTGAAAAAGTTGCCTGCTGCTCCTGAAAACAATGCTTATGAGAGCAGTGCGAATGGACCAGAACAGTAAAGCTGTGGGCTGTAAAACAGTGTGTTGAAAGACACCCAAAGCGCTCCATTGAGCTGAGGGGAACTGCAGATTCATTCTCTTTGAGACTGTTACCACCAGCGACCACTTTCACAGTACACAAACTCAAGTAGATTTACTGTTAATACAAAAATCCCGATTAGAGGAGCTTTAAGAGTGGAGCTTTTCGCATCCACTTGTTCTGAATTGTTGACAAGCAGGGATGAAATTTAGACCAGCCGACCAAGTTAAGAACAGTAATCAGATAGTTAATTCTTTGCCCTATGAACACAGTTTCGTTGGCACCAAAAAGCCAGACTCTGTAATGAATACAGTATCATATCAGGGGAGATCCATACAACTGTGCATACCCGAGTGTCTCCTTCTGGTGCCAGAGGGTCAGTCATCCAGGAGCCGAACCTGGACCCAGACGTCTTGATGGTGATGGGGTCGCTGATGCCCGTCAGTTTGCCGCATGCTGCAAAGGAAAGAAGCGAGAATGGAACATCTACTGCTTCACCCGTTTTGGGTATTTAGACTAATTCAGAATCTATTGTGAAGGATTCATTTTTATTTACTTTAAATGCCTGAAGGATGAGGGAGCTGATGTCCGGCTCGTTGCTATGTCTCCTGCCTCTCTCTTGGCGTGATACAAGAGGTGCTTATTATTCAGTTCACACATGCTAATGCCTGTTTTACTCTCTCTGCGCGGATGTGTGAGAAAAGTGAGAGGACGAGAGAATAGGAGCGGGAGAGCCTCTGCGTATTCTGCTCCTGCGCGCAACTTGTAAGCTGCTGTAGTGTTAATTAGTGTTGATTGAGGTGTTAATGCGAATTTGACAAAACTAACACTGGGCCGTGTGTCCCTCGTGACTGAGAGCCGGTCAGATAGCTGCACCCTTTCTAATGAGCGAGCCACAGATAGGGGGTGCAGGATTTCACAGAATAACAACACTGGCGGCACATCCATTGGCGTTTCAGACGACGCTTCGCAAAGACAAAGGTCAATGAGATGATCTTGACGAGTTAATTTTTTACCACATAAATGTAATGAGTTGTCTTGATAAGCTAATTTAAGAAGCGGGACTGTGACGATGGCTCATTTTAGGTTTCCATTAGCGTCTTTCTCCGCTAAGCGTCGCATCCATTAACCCCTTTCGTTACAACCCCATTACCTCTCGTGCTCTTCATTGTTGTGAAATGTCATTTTAATCTGTAGTTACACGTTCTCCATTTAATTCCACTTTCCTCTGCTTACCCTTTGTTACCTGCCTCTCCTTTCTCTCTCGGCCACATTTCTTTCACTTCCATAATGAAACTCGCGGTTTTGCATATGTGCAGCATATGTGGCGCCTGTGAGAATGTGTGGGCCTCGCACCTCCGCGGCGGCTGAGAGACAAACACGTGGTCACATGAGCAGCATCTACTATTTCTAGTGGGGGTTGAGTCCCTTACGTAACCCTCAGTGGGATTAGAGACCACATTAATACATTGGCCATTGATTTATTTAATTCTTTTCTCTAATCATGCCTCTATCTTTAGATGACACTACTATCGCAGGCTGCTGGGGAGCCCGCTGATGGAGCTGCATTCTGGAGATGCACACATGGTCTAATCCCCTTTTGGCCTGAATTTGCCTGCATTGAAGCACAGGGCAGAGCACATGGAAAACCTAATGGGAACTGGAGCGGATATAACAAAAAACAGCACCCACCCTTAGCCCGAATAGTAAGGATTTGGATATAGAATGAGCACTTGTTTCCAGAGGCTTCTGGATGAAGGCACTGTTTTTAAATTGACAACAGTTTTGTCTATCTTACATCTAAAATTTGAATGTGGTGTTTTCGGTGCTCCTCTCGTCTGGTTTGGAGTTGACTGGGCTCAGTTAGAATGTGGTGATGTCACTTTTTTAAATTATTTTTTTTACACTGATCAGGAGTTTAAGTAAGATTTATGTAGGAGTTTTTGAGCATTAATCCAGTCATAATTAAATTACCCCTCTGAATGCCAAAACCTGCCGGCAGTTTTGAAAAGCTTATAATTATATTTGAAAATATAATTCATAACTTACGCCATGTATCTGGGCTAGAAACTGTAAAACTAGAAAGATTTGGATTTTCGGCTTTACAACAGTCTGTGAACAATAATCTGTGATATATGATTCTGACGGGGAAACTAATTAAATCATAAGCTCAGCATATTATTTAATCAGAATCCTCTTATTCTACACGTGTCATTAAAAATACTAAAAAAAAAATATGTCTGTTCATTCAAACTAGATTCTGTAAATCACAAAACATTCTGCTTGGCACAAGTGGACAGTCATGTGACAAATGTTCATGAAGGTTTTGGCTACTGGGCTGAGCTGCAGGCTGTGTTAACAAAGAGCAAACAGACAAGTGTACTAATTAAACTACTAATTAATTAAAATGTGTGGTCACATATTGACAGTATGTAGAGTCACCATTGTTTTCAAGTATTAACAGCACCTACGGACTCTGAGGTTTTCATATGTCCCTTTTTTCTTTAAAAAAAATCCACTTAAAAAACAAAACATTTATGGCATTTTAACTTTGTTGCACTGCAAAAAATACATGTTTGAGTTCTCTCTACTTCTAACCATGGTTGTGTTGTTTCCATAGAAATGCAGACTTTATATTGCAGTAAAAAGAAAAGCTCACAGGGAGTGAAATGAATGTGACAGGAGCTAAAGACGTCCATAAACTACTTGAGGTTCACACATCATTGCCTTAATTTAATGTTTAATGTTATAGAGAAATTCTTGAAATCTGATTTTCAGTTTGTCATTGCTTTGTGTTTCTTGCTGTGTTTGAGCTCTTTTTAGATGTCTCAGTGTTTCCAGATAGAAGCATTTAACTTAACTGGTACTGTGTAATGATTACCTTTTGGAATTAAAACGGCAAAAACCTTATTAAGTATAATAAACCCATTAATCTTTACTAAGGACGTAGGAGAAAGTGAAGGCAAAAAGAATAGATGAGATTGTTACTTGGCACTGAAAAAACAAATTAGTCAAACTAATTATTCATATTTTTTATTAATGTGCAACAACAGTTAACTGTTGCTTCTTGTAAAACCAGTTCAGTTTGGCAGTGTTTTGATCTAGACAATGAAATCAGGCTTTTGTACGCTGTGTCAGAACAAACAGTCATTTATCCACTCAACTGGCGTAATCACATTCTGCAGAATTTAAAATATGATTTGGGTATTGAGAAATGCTATTAACAGTTTCAAATGGCTCTTAAATGCAGACAATGTTTAGCCTTATCGATTAAATTGTGCTGAATTTTGACCGTTTTCAGACCAGTTCAGCTCGTCTAAATCTTAATTTCTGTTTAATTGACAGGGAAATTAGTTGTTAGGAACATGCCTGCTTTGTAAGGAGAGAGAGTCCAATTTTGCCTTCAGCAGATAAAATAGAGGAGAAAACACAGTGGTAGCAGAGTGGCTTATGTGCCGGAGTGACCTTCCTCCTCCATTCATCAGTATTTCAGTGTGAAGGGGCTGCATTTGCCTGAAGCTCTCCGTGGCTCCACATTGCCGGGGCACAACACAGGGTGATTTATTTATTTGATTATTGCCCAGCAAGCTGGCATGTCCTCTTGATCGATGGCCATTGTGTCCCAGCAGCCGTTGGGCTGTTAGTCTCTCCGGCACAAAACAGCTTGAAGGACAGCTCTGTGGGGACTCTAGTTACTCTCTTTCACTTTTCCTGCTCGCCTTCACTTTATCACTCTTTCTCCTTCCCCGATACCACGTTCTGTCACTTTCTCCCGTGTCTCTCTCTCTCTCTCTATTACACAAGCGTTCAAATTTCTCCTGCCCCTCTCCCCGTTTTTCTTTTTTTTTTTTTTTTTTCCTCCTGTTGTTCCTCAGATGCAAATGTGGATGGTGACCTTCGCGAGTTTAATCTCACTAACGGAGGAGTGTACTGGAGTGTGTTTGTGTGCACTATGCATGAGTGCCTCTGCAATCGTGTGAAGATGAAAGGAGTAGCCACCCTCTGTTCTGCCTGAGCCAGTCTCTCTCGGGGTGACCTCGCCTTTATCTCATCTGATCTTGCACACACGTACACACACACTAAGTAACTCCCGCAGGCCTCTGCTCTCCTATCTTTGGCAGGATGACCACAGACGCTGGAGTGGCGTGCTCACTGAACTGGGAGTAAAAACACAGAAAAGACTCCTGCACCTGGCTGGCAGGTAGCAGCAGCAGCTGGCCAGCAGAAGAAAAAAAAAAGCTGTGTATGCAGAGATAAAGACAAAAATATATATATATATAGGGAAGAAGCAACTGGTGAGCTGAGATTAAGCAGCTGTGTTTGTAGTCTATAAATTGAATGTAACTACAATCACAGTGTGGCGATCTGCTTTCCGAAAAAAAAATCACAACTGAAAGCTTTTCCCAATTTCTTCCTGTCATCGTGCACAGTGAATAATTTGAAACAGGAACACAATATACCCGTGATGTGCCTCTGTAAGTGTGTAAGTGTCTCTGCTCTTGTAAAATATCTTAGTCACTGTAGTGTGGGTGTGCATCTATTAGCACTGTGGGCTGCGACCGAGGTGTGAAGAGACTGAGGCAGGGGCTAAAAGATAAGATAAGACCGCCATGACAGGAGCTGCAAACTGAAGACCCATCAGCTCCTTGGCTCGCTTCTTCTGTATGCCGTCCATAGGTGCATGAATGTGTCTAGTTATGTATTCTAGCAGTCTGTTTCCTCACCCAAAGTCAGTAGATTCATTCGGAATTTGGCTTTAAAGCAAAATTTTGCCTAGAGGTTCAAGATATTCAAAGTCAAAAGGCAGGAAAAGCAGCATATCTCCTCAATTTGAGGAACCCAGAAAATGTCTGTGCAATGGTTTTTGGACATATGTATGCATGCATTCATCAATTTAATCAATTATAACTTTGATTTCAATAGCTTTTCTGTCATTTGATTTCAGGACTAGTGTCTTATATCGTAGTGTACAAAATAAGGCTGTCAACATATCAGACCTTCACCAAATGATAATTCATGGCCAAACTAATTTACGATGATCCTGATATTATTTATTATCCACAGAAAATTTGAAAAAAAAATAATGCCATCTGTCAAATTCACCTTTCTTCATTGTGTGTTTTCCTTTTTGGCAAACAAATGCTCAAATATTCTTGTTATATATATTTATATGTGTAGAGGTGACAAAAGTCTATCCATTACTGTATGATATGTTGTTTTTGTGTTTGAGTGCCAACCAGATATTTACAGTATTATCATGAGCATTTCTACTTTTTTGTTTTAAATATCACAGTTATTGGTAACACCAGCATATCATGACACCCCTAGAACAGAACACATGCAAAGTCCCCTAACGGACTTCATGATTGGTTTACTTTGACAAAGGAAGAATAAACCAATCATGCAGTCCGTTAGAAGGCCGGCACGCAATGAATAGAAGCATTACAAATGTCAGTGGAGAGGGTGTTCTACTGCTGTGAAATAAGCATTTGAGTGGTAGAGCATCACAGCCACCTCTGATGTTCCTGTCATGTCCTCCGCCATGTGAATATGCCTGAGCGTCTCTTTCTGGCCAGTCACAACACAGCGTGAGTCAGTGGGAGTGTTTTTGGTGCATGCACATGTTTGAAGCAAAAAGGTGTGTGCCAACAACTTTCTGTGCCTACCTAATTTTTGCATGCATGCTCGGAGTCTCTCCTCAAGATTTGACACTCTGTTGTGGAGCTCCTCGTAGTCATAGGCCCCCATCTCCTCCTGAAGTTCGCTTAGAACTGACGTCAGATTCTGGACCTCCTCCTTAAACTGCAATACCAATTTGGCATCGGCTTTGTACTCCTCCAACACTGGTATCAACGGTCTAAGCTCCTCCATTTTCGCTTTTATGGCCTGAAAGGATTAGAATAAGCTCGGTTGAGTGTCATGCGCGACAAAAGGAGACCCGCTGTCCATAAAAGAAAAGAAAAGTAGAAAAAAGAAAAAAAAAACACCTGTCTGAACCTGGCTACTCTAACTCTTTCCTGCCTCTTCACTGACATGGCGACCCCTGTTGGTGTCCGGTGTTTTTCGTGTGTGAGCTGCTGTGTTTTCGTGCGGTGCAGGTGTGCGTCTGAGCAGACAAACCCGGAGAAATATTCTCCACCCGCTGGACGAGCAGAGCAGGTGGCTCCGTCCCGGCAGTGAGCAGCCGTTAAAAAGCAAGCCCTCGGTACACCGACAACAATTGGGAAAGCTCTTTATTGGTCATCATCGTTTAAAATGCAACATCGTATTAAGGGTTACATGCTTTTACATGTCACACACAACAAAGTGTCTCGAATTTTACGTCTATAGTTTTACGTATAGATTTGTTGAGTAACCAAATATGCATAGACAAAAGCCAAAAGAAAATAAAATGAATAACAGCAATTGATAATAATAATAATAATAATAGTAATAATAATAAGAAGAATAAGAATAATAATAAGAATAATGTATTTACGTTTGAAAAAAGCTTTTAGATGGAAAACTTTGACAGCAGTAACATGCAGGAAGAGATCAGTGGTGGGTTGGTTTGGGAGAAGGGTGGGGTTTCTTAGTCTTAATGGTGCTAAAGGTAAATTAACTGTTTGACGCCCAAATGCTCTCAGTACTGTGGCCCAGTTCAGGGGAATCTGGAATTGACCTGCCTCTTCTTCCCTGTGGCTCTCTTTACATGTCTTAAAGTTAGCCCTGCAAGCAAGAAAATGACAAACTGTTGACAGGGGCTAGAGCTTGCTAACCTATCTAACAGACACACAAACAAACGCACACACACTTAGTATATGCACTTAGACAAAGTTACAGAAGATTGCGGGCATGCACTGTAATGTGGCAGCGTGAGGTTTGCAGAGCATGCACAGATGACGGGATCACACAGATGTATTAGTGCAGGTTAGATGGTGTGAACAACGGAAGCTGCTTTTGATTTAAGAGTGCAAGTGCACTTGTATTTGTGTAAGTAATTGCACACAGGGCTGGTTATTGAATACGTTTTTGGTGAGTTTGTAGCACAGAGTAACAAGGTGGCGCTGAATTGTTGTCCAAGTTGTAATGTCCACCTTGAGATGCTGATTTAAATACATTTTAGTGGCAACTTTTGGTAAATGTGGAGATGAAATGATTAATTATTTGATTATGAGAAAAATAAATGTGGACTATTTTTGATACCTGGGTAATCATGTTATTTAAAGTAGGGGTCGAACAATCTGCTTCCCCCCACCCACCCCTTTTTTTTTTTTTTTTTTAGTAATCAAAAAGACCAATAACTGACAATTGGACTCAATAAACTTTTAAAGTGAAATTAAAAATCCTGGGGTCAGAATTAAGAACAACATTTGTCCGTCAGCACTGATTGGCTGTTGCTTGGGAGGTGTAACCAATCAGATACTTCTGTGGGCGGGATATTAATAAAAAAAAAAGAGCTGGATGCAAAAGCAGCACATTTTAAGATTCATTTTAAAACATTTTAATCTTAAAATGTGCAATTCTCATGAATTAATCAAAAAAAATAAGGATTATCAGGAAAATGCTGAATATTAGGTCTGATAATCAGTCAGGCCAATAAACAGTCCAGTAGTGTTTCAAGCAAAAAATAATAATTAAAAAAAAAAAGCCAAAAGTTAACTGCTTCTGGGTTTTTTAGTTGCAGAGACTTTCTGTTTATTAAAATTTTATTTTTATTTATTTAGCTTTATTTTGGTCAGTTTTGGTTAAAATACACTGAGGCAATAATTGGCACATTAATCACTGTAATTGCAGCTGTGGCCAAATTTTTTTTTTTAATTTAAAAAAAGATTTTATAGTAAAGTATACAATACCCTGCTGTATTTGATAAAATATTAATTAAAGTTTCATCTGGTTCAGTGAATCTCTAGGGAAAACTGCCTGGAGTCTTTAATGTCTACAAGTAGTTCTAAAGAAAGTGTGTCCAGAGATCTTTGTGCTCGCTGCACAAGGTACCACTCTGAGTGCACACACCACTCCCCAGGGATGTTTTATTTGTAATAAACATAAGCTGTCTCATTAAATCGTCATCTTCCTAAGCTGATTTAGGATGCTATCAGTATACTACATGGTTTTATTATGTGAGTTGGTGTGAAATAGGGATATGAATTGTTGTCGGATTTATGTATCCGTTTATTTTACCTCTTTAATTATGCATGCTTTATGGATTTCTTGGTATGCAGTATGGTGGGTTGGGCAACTCTGAACCCTCTCCACAGTGGAAACACACAAACACAAAATGGCTGTTTCTAATGAGCTACGGAGCAGCTATGAAGGGATGGCGGGTTGGGTCAATGGCTCAACAAACTGGCTCCGTACCTTGTATTGCTTGGCGATGTTCTGCTTGTGGTTCTCCTCCACCTGCCTGAACTTGGTCTCCAGACCACGGAGCTGAACCTCCATCTTCTCTACATACTGCAGGTCCCTCTGGGTACGCTGGTCCAGCACCTGGATGGACTGGGTCATGTTCTGGACCTGGGATTGCCATAAGGACACGTTAGCCTGTCTGTATTCGTCGTGGTGTAATCTGAGCATGAGACATAGTAGAAACTCAACAGACTTTCAATATGCTTTTTTTTTTTTTGACTTGGCATTCTTCTTGCAGTGATTCACAAATTCTTACATCAGGCCAACTAGTCAGGGGCCTCAGACACATGGTGCAAGTGTAGAATGCATACTGTTAAGACATTTGTTGTCTCCAAACTGTTTCGCTCCGGAAACTCCAGAAACGTGACTCATCTGCTATTTATTCAGGCGAGATCTGTTGATGTCTCTACGTTCTGGCTGGTTATGTGAATAAGCTAATTAGCATCACTTTGGATTATCTCCATTTTTGGATTAAAGGGAGTTTCATTTTAATAAATACGCTTAAATGTTCAATTTGCGTAAGAGTGGCAGCCTTAGCTCAAAGTCCATGGGTATTGAGCTAGATTGCATCATTAGATATGTTGCTTTGGATGTATGCAGCACAATAGAAACTCTCAGAGTCAGTGTATAGCTGCCTCCCATGATGCCTTGGGTTTCCAGGGAGCTCATTAGAGCTTGATTTCTATTCTTGTCCAACAGGCAGAGAGGTGATTGGAAGACCACAAACACTGTTAAGCCTTTCTGCGTGTTCTTTGTGCATGAAAGACGTAAAAAATGACTCAAGGTGGTTACTCCGTGCCACTTTGATTGCCGAGGAGTTAAGCGATAATTACCTTCTCCAGCAGCTGCCTCAGTTGTTTGGTGCGAGCATCCCGTGAGCACATGGACTGCTGGGGCGCCACCACAGTGCAGACACACCGTCCCTCGCTATCCTGGGCCGAACTGTACACCTGCCACGACTCCTCTGGGTTTGCTGGCAACACCTGAGTAACAAAAGGAGCGGAGAAACGGTGACAAAAATGGAATAGGTGGGACAGCAACGATGGGAGGGCGAAGGGTGACACATCCTCGTGCTTGTCTGCGAAAATGACAAAGGAGGACACTTAGCTGAGATTCGCCCTTTGAGTGTTGTGCGCTTTGCTTGATGCCGGAGCTCCATCTGGACACCACAAAAGCACCAGGCTCCACCCATTCTGCACTATCACACTGTATGTTTTAAAGCCACACAAAGGGAGGGAAACGCAGCCAATCGCAACAGCTGAGGCTACTCTCATTATTCAGTGGGGTTGTGGAAGCTCAGGAGTATAATGCGTGACGTCAGGGAAGAACAAGGCAACACCGAGTACCCAGACCTTCTGATGGACGAGACCGAGGAGGTGACTTTGAGGAAGATATTCATCACAGCATCAGCGATAAAAATCAGTGGACAGACCTACTGATTGTTTCAATTAGCGAGAGGGGGGTGACTTCACAGAATCCAAAAGCAGCAGCAATCACGCTGGCTGTCAGCCGGCTGCAGTTTCTAGCAAAAGATGTGCTGACAAGACAAAGAAAACCTGCGTAGCCTCCTACTCAGTTTGCACGACTACACTTATGGTCAAATAAAATTCCAGGAGTCTTGCATCTGGAAAACTGCACGAATCTTCTCAAAAGCATGAAATAAACATCAAGGAAGATGTTACTTCACTGCATCTATTGCTTTTATTAATGCAGTTGCTTCCAACCTGCATTGTTCTGATTTCATTGCCACCTTCCATTTGACCAAGCCCGTACAGTATCATCTCTGGCACAGAAGCTGCTCCCAATCTGCCAGCATCCTGACGGAGAGAAGCTTCATTTTGACTCTCTAACAGTGCCTTGGCTTTGAGCGCCTCTCCATTCACACACACTCACCGTGAAATGAAGAATGAGGACTCCCTGCTGTTTCACAGGAAAGACACACCACAGCTTTCACCATTTTTTTTTTTTCTTTTTTCCTGTCAATCTCCTAATTTTCCATCACGGATCTCTTATTTATATCAGCATCAGAGAGGGAAATAAAATAACCAACTGAGAACTTTCCACTCGGTGCAGCAGCCCAGTGGCAGCTGGAGCAACATCAAACGCAAGAAGAAGAATCTATGATGCCTCTCCAAGTCTTTTACTTTTGCATGCGCCTGGCAAGCGCATGACAGAAATCCTAACTCTAAATTATGAACCAAACGCACCAGAGCGCGCACATATGCTGCCTATATTTGGACTGCAATTTACCAGCAACACTTTCATTCAGAAAAAAAAATGAAAACCCAACCAGGCGCAGGGGTTATGTGAAACTTACTCCTGTACTCCGGTCTGGATACCCTCCCTGTGCCGCCGTGAGCTTGGTAGTATTGAGCCCCACCAGAGAGGGGAGGGTCTGCGACATCCAGTTGGTAATCATCGCCATGGTGCTAAGCACGACGCCGATCTTCAGCAAAGGCACCGACATCTTTGCGCTTTGCTTGGACTTTATTTAAGCCGTCTTCATTCTACAGACTCCGGAGAGAAACAAGGAAGGCGAGTCATGTTGCCCAGAGAAGCCTGATGTTTCACCCGGGACTCCGGCTTGGCTGGTCTTTTTTTGGACATCTCCAAGGAAGCAGTGGCGGCGGACGGACGCGGTGCTGGAGACCGAAACGGGAAGGTCGGAGGACGGAGATGAAAACTGCAACACTTGATCCAGTGCAAGGTAAAAGAAGGGGGTTCAAAAAACCGAGAGCGGCTGCTGGGAAACGTCCTCCGGATAGCTCCTCTTTCTGCGTTGTCCCGCACACTGCTGCCTCTCCAGCTCACCGTTACTATTTCGTTCACGCCCGACGGTCCGCCTCCTGCCTTGGTGCGCTCTGTGATTAAGTGCCACTGACTACACACACAGGCGGCTCCAAATGGATGTGAGGAGAAAGGAGGAGGTACTACGGATCTATCTATATCCCCAGACGCAATGATGTCAGCCAGGTTGGGGTCCGCTCATGGTAATATCTTGGATTGCGCCTGAGTCGCCCATAGTTGCCCGACACAGACTGTCCCCCCTGAGGGCAGGAGCAGTGCGGCTGAGGTCGGCCAACAATGATGCTGAGGGATTATTTATAGGGGACAATGTCATTTCTTTCTCCACTGGCCCAACAGGAGAGAAGGCTGTGTGGCACAGGAGCGCACCCTGCTCGGATCATGGTAAAGCTCGTCCTTTTCACTCCAACAATCAGTGCAATGTGTGACTGCTCAGTCCTGCACGTCAAAAAAATACAAAAAAATAAAACTCACAGGACACTCGTGCAGGATGTCGCATTGCAATGGCAGCGAGCTGGTAGGAGCTCAGAATATGTTTTATTGATGGGATGCTGAATGCCTTCAGCTCGATCAAAGCACTGAGCTTTTAATTCGTGAGACTCTGGCGCCATCGTGTAGCTGATTTTGGCGTTGCTGAAATCAAAAGAGGAGGGGTTTTTAAAATGCAAGCCCATAACATAAAAAATAGATGTTTGAAAAAAAAAATCAAGAGAGTTAGCGTGAGTTAGAGTTAGTTTTCACTTTTACACGTGGAGTTCTTTGGACACTCTGTGCGTTTGCATGTGGAGTTTGGTGCCTGTTTCCATTCAGAGTTACATCTTACACTGTTGGCTTGTTTATTTTGACAGCAAAGCGTGCAAAGAGGAGACAAACAATGACTTTATCTGCTGCCTAAAAGTCTCCATCAAACAGCCTGTTGGGATGTGCTGCAGCCTGTGGGCTAAATTGCAGCACTGCATGATACATGAGGCCCCCAGAATAGCAGGAGGGGCTCTGAGTTCACAGCTATTTCTGTCTGCTCCATAATGCACTTTTCTGGTAAACTGAAAGATGGAGGGAAAGTTTGTGCTCCCTGCTGATTTGTATTTGTCCTGCCCTCCCTTACTCTCTCTCTGTCTCTCTGACCTCTCTGACTTCTCTTATCTCTTCTTCATGGCCTCTGAGGTGAGAGCTCAGTGGTGATGGCTTCACAGATTACAGTGAAGTATTGACGGGGGTCAGATCACTGCTGTGCTCTGCCGTCCAGTCTTGTGTAATACGGTGCAGTTCAGTAAAGCGCAGCAGGGCTCTCTAATGGCAAAAGCTTTTTAAAATGGATATAGCCTAATGTGGATCCCATTTGATTCCAAAACAGGTGAGCCAGAAGTTAGACGTTTTAATACAGAGCGCTCATCATTTAATGGAAAACCACTGGAGCACTGATAAAAGACGCACGATTCAGTCAATCACTTGTCAGACGCTTTTTTTTTTTCATCAAGAGTGATTGATAGGGAGATTTATAAATTAAACACTTTCATTAGAAATGCATACAGCTCTTTTTGCACAAGGATCAAGTAGAGCTTTGCAAAGAAATCCGACGTGGAGACAGAATGGAAGCACTCTGATATAATAAGAATGTGTCATAGAGATGTTGCTCAATTTATAGTTTTTTGTTTTAAGAACGTGTTATTTTCTCACAGCGTAAGATACAAATCATGATTTAAGGTGTGGGTGAAGGGTGTGGATGCATCTGAGCAAACAAGCAGGCAACACAAGTCAATATCACAAAAGAAACAACAAACAGGAGCTTCTGAAATTACCACAAATTGAACATTAGCGCCACATAAAAAGCCATATTCCTGACTAAGGTGTGGTGCTATAGTGGACAGACACTTCTATTGTATGTCTACAGCAGGATAAGCACCCCGTCACATTCACTATCCAGTGTAATAAGTGTTCATAAAGCAGCGAAAAATCACATTTCCAGCCTGCGAGTGCACTACAAAATGCACCGTACCTCCACCTACTCTTCTTCTGCTCGCGTTCTCTCCCTCCCTCCCTCTCTCTCTCCACCCCTTCCTTTGCGTCGTCGCTCAGCCAGCCATACTGAATAATAAATAGCTTCAACCCCAGCTGCCAATCACACCACGCATATTGCAATTCAGCTCCACTCCGGTTCAGTTTCTCACATAAAAACCCGATTGTTTTTTTGGTTTCTTACATTCCAAAAGAAATAATAATAATAAAAATCCTCTAAAACGTTCCCCTTTGCAGGAGCTTTTTGAGTTTAAACTTGAGCAGCATAGAGGTGGACATGTTGACAAAGTAGATGTTGTTGGTTTTTTTAATGTGAATTCCAAGATTGATGCTATTTTTTATTTAAACCCCCGCACATTCATATTTAATTACTAATCAGGCATGCATACAAGCCTACAAGCTTAGCGTGTGCTGGTGTTTCACGGTCATTTTCTCTAGGCTGATTGTTTGTAGGGTGAGTTATGGGATGTATGTTGCGTGGTGGCAAAGAGGGGGCTCTGGCAGCACCATCTGTTTAGTCAGGTGTCAGGGAGATGCTTTAGGATGTGGGCCTGCAGCCATGGGGGAGCCGCTAGGTGAGGAACAGATGCCATTCTGGCTGCTTACTATTCTTCCCTGCGTAAACGCCGGGCAAATCCTTCAGCGGAGGGGATAGAGGTGAATGAATGTGGGCAGAATTAAAGAGGAGAGGGTGCCACTAATCAGGCGTCTCCCCGCTCCTTAGGCCAGATGTTAAGAAGAGAGCCGCAGCTGCCTCGCTCCGTCTGAAACTGTGCGAGACTTCTCGAGCAAGGTGGTTAATGTGGTCATTAAGAGGGCGTTACTGTTCTGCATCAGCAGTCGAGGCCATACTGCATGGGTGGCTTTTTTTTTTTTTTTTCCTGATGAGTAATCTGGCAATAAAAAGGCTCTCTTGTGTCTCGATACACCTCTCACTTTTTTTTTTCTATCTTTCTTCAAACTGAGATGAGATGTGGAGAGGCCTTTCTTCTCAGAGTGCTGTGGGTTTGTGTACAGCAGAGGCCGTACAAATAGAGCCTGTCAGTGTATCTTGTCTTTTCTGTTCGCCTGAAAGGGGAGCAGACGGGTAAGGCTCGTGGACTAATATCGACTTACCTTCAAGCAGGCGACACGCACTCTCAGGTCATCAGGCTGTCACTGTAACGTGGGCCCTGACCTGCGCCGCTCCGAGCGGCTGTCATGAAACCCCGAAGTGAAACCAGCTTTCTTCTCCCACTTCCCCTTCCTCTGACTGATGGCTTCCATCAATCTGTGCAAATAGCCCCATTGTTCAATGGTGTCAGCGTTTTCGTGCACTCTGCAGCTGCACTGTGTCCACTTCTGATTACAGGCATTACAACTTGTAGCCTCACTATGAAAACATTTTCATTCTAAAAACTGTGTATGGGGTTACAGCTTTGTTAAAAAGACAAATCAAACTCCATGTGAATGTCAAAACCAAGCTGTTGCTCTCGCAGCCACACCGGCGTTTCTCATAAATTTGCGGAAATCAATCACTGGCATATTTCTGTCAAGGCAATATTACGCCAATATTGTTCTAACACGTTGGTTATCAGGGCCAGCGAGGGGTTTGCAGCAGCCTACTTCCAACACGTGTATTGAGTTTGTCACTTGGAGTATATCACAGATCCATGGGACCTGATATTAATTTATTGATAGTACCTCAGTGCCACATTTGATTTTTTATTTTTTTTTTATCCTCCTCCGCCTCCAATTACCAGCCACAATTGGATTCACATAACAGCATAGCACATGAAATATGACTTTGTGACTCAAGCAAGGGCAATTAAATCATCAAATTCTTCAGTCCAGCGGTGACAGGGGCCTGGCAGTAAATAAATACCACCTCCCTCACTGTGTCTCCACAGCCTGCTGTTCATTTATAAAAGGAGCAGTTTAATACAACAGTGGCTGCTGCATGTGTTGCAAATGACATGAGGTCATTACTGGAGGATTATACATATTTCATTGATGGTAATTTATTTTTTGTGTTTACATTGCTGGACTAAATGTCCTCTCCCCTCCACACAGCCAGTCACAGTGTGGTCACTGAGCATGCTCAAAGTGAGACACTGCATTTGATTGTGGAGGAGTCCCGGTTTGCAACACTAAAGAGCAACAGCCCACCACTGAATCCTCTATTTAAAGGGGAACACATTGCACTAAGAATATCGCTGCAGTTGATGACCATTTGCTAATGAGGGAATTGACCGATCATGCAATCTTTTATCCCCCCCCACCTCTTCTTCCTCTTCCTCTTCCTCCTCCCCTTCAATATCTGGCCCGGTTTGGTTTGGCGGAGAAACGGAACCAAGAGGAAGAGGAGGGTGATGGTGATGGTGAGGGTGAGGGGGGCTTCTATCCGTGTAAAAAACACACAATTTCCACATCATGTAATCCCGCCCGTTAATCTGTTTAAGCGGGAGGGCTAATTCAGCGGGGCTCTTTATGCGAGGTAACCCGGGTAATCTGTCCGTCTCTTCGCGGATGCCCGGGCCAATTAATTTTAATATTATTATTATTTTTGTTGAAAGGAAAAAATAAAAATAAACACAAGAGGTGGAAAATGGCGTTAAAAAAAAAAAAAAAAAAAAAGAACCTACTTGGGTGAGTTCTGTGCCCATGAAGATGAGGAGAATCAGAGTGAGGAGCTTGCTCGCTGGCTGCATCTCTTGCCTCCGGTGTGCGGACCAGCAGCGGTCTCACATGCAGATCCAGTCCCTTTGCGTCCCCACAGCAGTCCTCTCTGTCGGCGCTCTTCTCTCTGGCTTTTTTTTTTTTTTTTTCTTAGTGCGCTGCAATTCTTTTCTTATTCTAATTATTAATTATTTTTTTTAATCCCTCAGCAGCCCGGCAGCAGAAAGCGGTATAAAAATCTGTTTGGCGGAATCGTCTCCGTGCATGTTCAGTTCATATCGGGAGCCTATCTTCGGTGCCTCTCCTCCCCTCCGGTCGTGGCCGATACTTATTTATCGCTGCGACGGACCGCTCCTGGTGAACATTGGGGCTGGATAGACGCGCGAAAGAAAAAAAGACACACCACGCTCGCATGCACGGAGATAAAGCTTCACTCTGATATTGCCAAAAGTTTACCTCCCCGCCTCAAGCTGCCGTATAAGCTCTCGATGGAGGAAAAAAAAAAAAAAAAAAAAAAAAAAGGGAGAGTGACGGCGCTGTTCATGGTGCTGAAAGCGGATGTTGCATCGGGCAGAGAGGGAGATTCAAACTGGCAGCAGGCACAGAGAGGAGAGAGGAGGTCCACAGCTATCAGGTCCACAGCTATCAGGTCCAGAACCAGCAGGTCCACAATTATCAGGTCCAGAGCCAGCAGGTCCACAACTATCAGGTCCACAGCCAGCAGGTCCAGAACCAGCAGGTCCACAACTATCAGGTCCATAACCAGCAGGTCCAGAACCAGCAGGTCCATAACCAGCAGGTCCACAGCCAGCAGGTCCACAATCAGCAGGTCCACAACCAGCAGGTCCACTACCCGGTAGTCTGAAGGGGTCAGGGACCTCTGTACTGCTGGGTCAGCTGCATGGGTGAAGGATAAAAGTCTGATTTGATCATCTGAATAAATCTTTTAGCGTCTAAGCAGCGTTTTAATGGCTTCAGTGGTATCAACTCAATAATGTGGCCAATTTAAACTTTTTCTTTTTTGTACATGTTGATTTTTTTATGTATTTAATTTTTGCTATTAAAGTTTTTTTTTTGTTTGTTTTGTTTTTTAAAGTTTTCTCACCACTTCTGCCACAAAAAGAAAAAAAAAATAAATTTAAAAAATCACCAATTTAGGTTAAACTTAACATAATTATTTTGCATGAACACAATTTTGTGTGTAATCTAAATCAAATTTTTTAATAATTTTTTTGTCATTTAAGTTTATCTTAATGCATTTATGTAAAAACGGGGTTGCAAAACACAAAAATCAAAAATTCCTATTTAATGATTTGGTTAAACCCTTTAAATCATAAAGATTTGTTTTTGATGGCTTGAGTTACGTCAACTCAATGTTCAATTTAAACTCAAATTTCTGCATTTGCTTATTCTATTTTTTTGGAGAAGGGGTTCTTTTCTTTACACCATTTATCACAAGATAAAAATTCTAATT